TCTCAAAACGTATCGTTCTAATGCTGAGAATATAATCGCTTCTTTGAAGTCTCAAATTTCTCTTCTTTCCGCTGAACTTTCTGATCATGGGTTTTTACTTCCTGTTTCACAGGAATCTATTGGACCTTCTGACACCATTCTTCATGATTCTATTCAATTTGATGATTCTAGCCTGGTTCATTTGACAACTATAAAGGCTTCTTCCGTTCAGAGGAATTACTCTCTGCAGTATGCTCTCGCGCTTCTCCGTGACGTGATTAGTGCCTTTTGCTGTCTAACTTCTGATTTAAATCGTTTTGTCAAATTAAATGTTGAACATCTAGACAACTCATCTACTTTGTCCACTGACACTTTTGTGCTTCCTTCTGGAGCCTTTGAAGCGTGTTTAGAGCCTGTTGCAATGGCTTCTCGTTGGGCTGCACAAATGCAAGATATACTGAAAAAAAATTCTACTGATGAACTTGGAAGCTGTGAGTCTTTCGATCGATCTTTAAGAATTCCGAAGACAAATCTTGTCGATATTTCCGCAGAACAAGAAGCATCATGGCTGATCTCAGCAATACCTGAATTTTCCGTTTTAGTAGAGGCACGGAAGGCCTCGGATATTGTAGTGTGTCTGCGGGATTTGTTGTCCAGAGTTGATTCTCTTGTTTACTCACTTCAGGAGGAAAAGGAACACTCGCGTAGCCTTTCAGCCGCCATGGACCAAATTGCAGCAGATATTTTGGATGAAAAAGAACGATCGGACAGCTTATTTGGTACTATAGCGGATATTAATCAGCAGTTGGAGAAAACCAAGGCCGACTTTGATGAACAAATTCGCAAACAGGAAGTGGCATCTTCAGTAGAATTGATTGCCGCGCGCCGTGCTGAAGGGCGTGCACTTGAGGCAAAGCGTCGTGCTGAGGAACAGCTGGTGTTGGTTGAGACAGAGTTAGAGGAGGAAAGAATGGCATTACGCAAGCTTCGGGATAACTACGGTGAACTCAAAATCGAGGCTGAACGCCTTACAAGGCTTACAGGTTCTATTTCTGATGCCAATCAAGCATCCCAACAGGATTGGCGTGCTACGGAGGCTGAAAACACTGATACAAACCACCAGATTGGGTTACGTGATGATCAATTGGAGGTCCTAGAACAAGCCCAAATACTTCAAATATCAACTCTTCAAGCTGAGCTGCTTCAAATGAGAAAAATGGTCCGTGAGGCAGAGTCAAGGGAAGCTGTTTTGAACCAAAAAAATCGTGTACAAGAGCAGACTTTGGCAGAACAGCATGAAGAAGTCCACAAGACCGCCGCGCTGCTTATGGATTTTGACCAGCTCCAGTCTGAATATACGGACTTGCTAAATAGGTATAAGAACCTTGTAGAGAGCAGCAGTACTACTGAAATAAGTACGATAGAAGAACTTAAACAGCTTCGTCGTCAAGTTCGCCTGCTGGAGACTGAACTTGCAGAGGAAAAAGCACACACCAGGGCCATTGAACTTGCTAAAAATACACCTGATCTGGAGGCAATGCTGCGTCAAGAGGCCCTTGGTGAGACTTTGACAGGTCTTTCAACGCATCTTGCTGCAGTGCAGGCACAGTACGCACGACCATCTGTCACCAACTCTGCTTCTCCGAATGATCATTCCTTCTCCGGGGAGGTGCCTAAAAGCAACGATGACGTCTCAGGTTCGGGCGTTGCCGTAGGGAGTAATGAGGATGACACTATATTTAGAACTCCTAACCCATCCATCGATCTTCTTCATTCTCGTATCACGCAGCTTGAGAGCTCTATCAAGGAAAAAAATAAGAAAGTGGAAAAATATGCTGCTGATATTCTTCGCCAACAGACTGTGATTGAAACCTTGGAGGATAATCTCACAAACAAACTTACCACGTTGGATCGTACAGAGCAACTAAATGAGCAGTACCTTTCTACAATTGACGCATTAACACGCAGTAGTAAGGCACTTCGTGCTTCCGCACCGGTTCGATTGGTTGTAGAAAATACTAAAACAGCGGCTTATGCATCTGACAAACATTCAAACAGGTCACGACGTTCGGCTCTGAGGACCACGAGCGGTGAAGATGCTTCAAGGCCAGGTCTCTCACCCCTTCCGCGTACGCCGCAGCAGTTCGTTGTCGAAACGAGCTCTGCGCAGAGCGATGCTACAGAAAGCGATGATGTTAGTGTACCATCTAAGTCTATAATGAAAGTAGTATCACCAACCATTTCCCCGAAAAAGAAATCCACCGGGGCTCGATCACGTCCCAGGCTTGAGCTTGACAAAGATAACCTCAATATTGGAGGCGTAGAAAAAGGTCACCGAAGGTCGAATAGGAGGAGTGAAAGTCAAAGCAACAGTGAAAGCCCACGTGTTTCCACCACAACCTCAAGGACCTCGAACTTAGCTCTTCATACTTCATCGGCGCGAATCCTGACAAAACGGAAACGTGGACGTACGATTTCTTGAGAAGGAAAAGCAAAAAAAAATAGCGTTAAAGATGGAATTGTCTGGTCAAAACTTCCTTAAAAAGAAGAAGTAATATATTTTATCAACCTGCATTATTACCATTCAGCTCTCAAGGAAAAACTAAAGGCTTATATATAAGTCTCTTCGAGTCATTACCTTTTGTTGATTATTTGTAATATATAATATACGATCACATGAATCTCAAGAAAATCTGAGAAAACATTCCCTATAGTTTTAGGAAGCAAATACGAGAAATATTATATAAGCTTCTTTAGTATTACTATTTTAGGGGAGAAAATGATTTAATTATATGCATATGATAAAAGCATACCATTAATGTATTTATTTTAAATAGTGTTTTATTTTTCCACCAAAGACGGATCCAGCCAAATCGAGAATTGTTGGTAAACATGAGAATTTAGTATTTTTTCGTCTCCTAAGGAAAAAGTACCAATTATCTCATTCTCATAAATTGCAAATTTATGAAGGGAAAAAACATCTTTACATCTCTATATATACGTCTGTAATATTGTATCTGATTCAATTTATAATATTTTAAATTGTATTTTAAATGAGGAAAACAATGAGGAAATCATAACGATGGATAAAACAGAGAGACTGAATGGATACAGATTTTATATAAAGAGTCTATGTCGAATGAAGAACGAAATGCTTTTTTTTGAAGAAGGCTGAAATTTGCGTAGTAAGAGGTGCCAGTGTCCTATTTAATTGGATGGTGACGCTTCGTTCTTTCCCACTCTTACCCAAGACGCACCGCAAATGTGAAAACATCTCTCCTTTTCTCCAATTCAAGCTCATACTCATTTTTTTGCTATTATACTATTGCTATCGCTTTTATTATATTTTTTAACCCAGCGTATTGCATCACTATGACACCTAATATTCACCGCAACCTCACAGCCGCTGAGCTTGTGGAGTGGGCTCTGAAGCTCGAGAAGGACACCAAGCTGAGCGCACGTGGTGCGCTGTGCGTGCTGTCGTACGCCAAGACCGGCCGCTCACCGCAGGACAAGCGCATCGTTGACACGGAAGATGTCGCGCAGAACGTGGACTGGGGCAACGTGAATATAAAGCTCAGCGAGGATTCGTTCGAAAAAGTGAAGAGGCGCGCGACGGAGTTCTTGAACAGCTGCGAGCACCTGTTCGTAGTGGACTGCTTCGCCGGGCACGACGAGCGGTACCGCATGAAGGTGCGCGTGATCACGACACGCCCATACCACGCACTGTTCATGCTTGACATGCTCATCCGCCCGACGGCCGAGGAGCTCGCGAACTTCGGGGAGCCTGAGTATGTGATCTACAATGCCGGTGAGCACAAGGCGGACCCGTCTGTACCCGGTGTGAGGTCGACGACGTGTGTCGCACTGAATTTCAAAACACACGAGGAGGTGATCCTTGGGACGGAGTACGCGGGTGAGATGAAGAAGGGCATACTGACGGTGATGTTTGAGTTGATGCCACAGCAAGGGCACCTATGCATGCACGCGTCTGCGAACGTGGGCAAGAATGGCGACGTGTCGATATTCTTTGGGCTGAGCGGAACGGGCAAGACGACTCTGTCCGCGGACCCGAACCGTGCGCTGATCGGTGACGATGAGCACGTATGGACGGACCGTGGGGTGTTCAACATCGAGGGTGGGTGCTACGCGAAGGCGGTAGGGCTGAACCCGAAGACGGAGGAGGAGATTTACAACGCGGTACGCTTCGGTGCTGTTGCAGAGAACTGTGTGCTCGACAAACGGACGAAGGAGATTGACTTTTACGACGAATCAATCTGCAAGAACACTCGTGTGGCATACCCACTAAACCATATCCCTGGGGCTCTGACACCGGCCGTGGCCGGACACCCGAAGAACGTCATCTTCTTGACGAACGATGCGTTCGGCGTGATGCCGCCCGTGGCGCGACTGACCCCTGAGCAAACAATGTTCTGGTTCATCACTGGATACACGGCCAACGTTCCCGGAGTGGAGGCCGGCAGCACACCCGTTGCGAAGCCGATCTTTTCTTCTTGTTTCGGTGGCCCGTTCCTCGTGCGGCATGCTACGTTCTACGGCAAACAACTTGCAGAAAAGATGACAACGCATAAGAGCCGTGTGTGGCTACTGAACACCGGCTATACCGGGGGCCGCGCGGACCGTGGAGCAAAGCGCATGTCGCTAAAGGTGACGCGCGCCGTGATTGATGCGATCCACGACGGGTCGCTTGACCGCGCGACGTACACAGTGTACCCTGGGTGGGGTCTGCACATTCCAACGCAATGCGCAAACGTGCCTTCGCACCTGCTGGATCCCCGTAAGTCCTGGAAGGACGTCAACCAGTTCAACGAGACGTCGAAAGAGCTTGTAATGATGTTCCGGGAGAGCTTCCGGAAACGCTTCGAGTCGATGGCGTCTGATGCCCTGAAGTCCGCCGTTCCAAAGTTTGTGCAAACAGCCAAGCTTTAAGAATTACTCATTTTTACATATTCCTCGAATGGAGAACGAATATTGACAAGTTAATTTATATTTAACCTGTAACTTATTTATCTACCATTTTTCTATATATTTTTAAAGGGTTTCGTATTTTTTACTTATGATATTATTTATATTTATAATTTTTTTTAGTTATTTTCATTTCCAATTTAGTATTAGAAACTTTTTTTCGCTTATACTTATATATTTTTCATTTCGCAAAATGTTTTAATTTTAAGCCTCAAAAAACTTATTGTTTTTGAAGTGTGCAAACCCTTTTAGTATTTTAGTGTAGTTATAAGATAAAAATGTTTCTGACATTTCAGTATGCTTTGAATTGAGGGTTGACTGTTACAAAATAACTTTCTAAGCCTGTTGTTTATTTTATATTATTAATATTATCAATTATCCATTTTTTTTGAATACTAGTTTCTGTGCTTATCATCATACATTAGTGGTTTATTGATTAATAAAACAACAAAGAAATATTTATCCGAATTAAATAGAATAACTGTATGCGTGTGAAAAAATATGCATTAAAGTCTAGAATCCTCAGTAATTTTTAAAAAAACGTTCATGAGTGACCGAATTTTTTGAATAAGCATTTATTTTATCTGGATATAATTTCTATCCCTTTCGTTATCCATCAGTGACAATATAGTAACCACAGAAGCTTATATAGTTACAAATTAATAGTTAGTGGGGGGTAGCTATTCGTTACTTATATATTTTATCCTTGCCGTTTGTTTCTGAACCTCCGCTGAAACGTAAATCAATTGCAAGTAGTGATTCTGACAATAGAAGCCAACAAAAGGATACCTTAAACCATCAAGGAGAGTGGTGGTGACGGAAAAAGTAAATGCCAGTTTCTCAGAAAATGCATCTTCATCTTTCTCCCGGTGATATAGTGAATGGAAATTATGAAGTCATTGATGAAGTGGGATGCGGCAACTTCGCTAAGGTTTATCGATGTTATGTCCTTCATAATACGGCCATGCCCAACAGCAACAGTACGGTATCATCGTTTAATCAAGCATCTCCCAGTCTGTATAGGGCCAACAAATCCAAAAGTGCCACGAATGAACACCGCGACAATAATGATCGGTCATCAGAACGGACTGTAGTTGCCATGAAAGTCATCAAAAGTGAAGATAAAAAAAGTGCTGTGTTTGAGCGTCGAATGCTTCGAATTCTGAACGAGCGCGATAAAAATAAGAAAGCGCGTGTATCGAAAATGTATGAGTACTTCGAGTGGAAGAACTGTCCGGTATTTATCATACCGCTTCATGGGTCGTCGCTGCGCTCAATTTGGTTAGGTACTAATCGTGTTTCTGTAACTCGACTTATGGTACTAGAATTTGCATATGATATATTAGAAACGCTTAGCTTTATTCACTTTGATTGCCGAATGGTCCATACGGATTTAAAGCCAGAGAACATATTACTAGAAGGCGTACATGTCTCTAAATCATCGTGTAAACACAGATGGGTTATTTGCGACTTCGGCAGTTCGTCCATGTGGCGCAGAGATAATCTCGACTCAGATTTGATCTCCACGCGGCCGTATCGCGCACCGGAGGTGATCTTGGGAAATAAGTGGCACTATGCTGCAGATATGTGGAGTCTCGGGTGCATTATATACGAAATTGCTGTGGGACACCGCCTTTTTGAGGTTAGCGACGACAACACACACCTGCAGGTAATGGAAAAACGGCTTGGAAAGCTTCCCAGGTCGTTAACGCAACGTTCACGGAACTCCAACAAGTTCTTCACCTCAAAAGGGACTTTTGCACACATTTCAGATTCCATTCTATCTAAAAAGCGCCCTATGACTTCGATCAAGGCGATGTTTCAAAAAGATGTCACCTTCCTAGAATTACTCTCTGCACTTCTCACCTACGACCCGTCCAAGCGTATCACGGCTCCATATGCACTTTGGTTGCCTGTGTTCGAGCCGATCCGAAATAGAAAGCCGAAGTCCGGGACGGCAACCACCATCAACAAGGCTGAACACTCCCATCCAGAGAACGATGTTGTGTGCGTTGCGGTAGAGGACACAAATCTGGCGTGTACTACCCGTGATTCCGTCACGAACCCCAACGCTTTAGACACTTTGGCGGATACCGTTCAATGTATGAGCCGGGATCATGATTCTCTTCACGTCGGTACGAAGAAGCCCGCATTCACGCCCCCGTCCGAAGTTCTCAACCCCCATTGTGAAAGCAGAGGTTATTTATCGAGTGAACACAGTTGTAGGATGGAAACCCAGTCGACTAGTGTCGCCTCCACGCTATGCGAAGCGACACTGAAGCAACTCAACACCTCAGCAGTTTATTCGATGGGTTTGACAAACTCCTGGAAGTCTGAAGGAGAGCTGTACCGACGGAATTCATTCGTACAAACAGCACATTTCCCTTCGGGCGAAAGCCTCTTAACATCGAAGTCGTCACCCAACGATTCAAAATCTATCACCGTCTCAACTGAGCTATCCCCTATGGAATCTAAAACTAAACCTAGTGTCAAAAAGGTGTCCAAGGTAAACGGGAATTCCATTCTTGGTATGGATGCATGGATTGGTAAAGTGGAAAACCACGGTTCGCAAACCCAAAATCGCGAGTTGAATGTTCTCAAGGCAAATAATTCCAATAACGTACAACAGCAGCACTCGTTTTCTAATTCAGATGCCCTGGTCCGACTCGAGAAACAGCAGCTCTCGGGGATACCACATGGGGATGACTTATCAAATAAGGCGCATCATCGGGAACATTGTAGTATCGCTGACAATACTCAAGCGAAAAACCTGATAGACCGACCCCAGGATGTCTCAAACAGAAATACTGAACCTGATAAACATGAAACCACAATCCATCGATCATCAGAACACCTTGCCTCTGAGAATCACAGTAAGCATCGAATATCGCGAATTCACAAAGAGGATGACCAACAGTGCGCCAACTATTCCAACAGTACAGTTCAGAGTGTCTTGTACTCGTCCTCGAATCCTTCCTCTGAAAATCTATGCTGCCCCAGACCGGTGGTTCATCGGGCGGATTCCACCTTTTCTACGGCAAAAATTGCGGATACGGCCTCCAGAGAGGTCCACAGCCACGCAGCCACCTGCGAATCGGTTTATCCGTCTCCGGTCCTCGCATCTGAGGGGACGGCACCTGCGAGCCCGCTCAATCTTAGCTCTGATGGCGCCGATGAAAACTTCCAAAGACAGTCTAAGGAAAGGGTTAAACCCAGTAAAGCGCAGGACACCGTGGTGGTAGTGTCCAGCCCGGGAGCTTCACTCAGCTCTGTTACAATAGCGAATGAATGGCGACAAAAGCCATCGACGTCGAGGCCTCATGACCATGATGACACAAAACATCCATCCAAAGACGTCGTTGGGGGAGCTATGGGCCAGAGGAGATCCTCCATTACTGATGATGCCTTGGTCCCCGTCCTTGATGACCGTAAAGCAAAGATAAAAGTTCAGAAGACGTCCACAGGCTCCGACATCACTCTGTTGGTCAGGAAACGCGCGGAGCTGCACAAAGAACAGCAACAACATTCGACTTCTTTCATCTGTGGCTACAAACCGGTGATTGCATTGCCCAAACAGGAGGGTGGAGTAGCTTCAGCATTCCAAGCAGCAAAAGTTAATTCCAGCAAGATTGATAAGATTTCACTTTGTGAGATTTCCTTAAAGACTCAGCTTGACAAAGTGTGTCTGCAGCACAGTAAAAATGAACATAAACTTATAGAGATGTCATCCATACCTGTCGCGATCCCATCGATTACGGAGCTCACTCACAAGTGCCTTAAAATGAAAGACAAAAATGCAAATGAAGGTCCTTCTTGTGGCAACGGATCGGAAGGTGTCAGAAAGGACTCCACAACGCTCACAGACAGTATCCCGTTGTGCAACACTTCTCTAACTTTTCACCAGCAAGACAGCTTGATGAATGCGGATATATTGACCTACCCCATTTCGCCTCTGCGACAGTCGTTTGAGTGCTCGATGTATTCCGCGGACGACGCGCAAACTAATCCCGCAGCTGAGATACTTAAAGCGCAAATCCACAACAGGGAAGACTCTCGCCAGCGTAGCATGACAGCCGGTGAGACCAGTGGGTTGATCCTCAGACATCGAAAGCGGAAAATGAGCCTTTGCATGTTGTCTTCGTCGATGTATATGTCGAAGATTACAAAAGATTTGGGCTACTCTCTTAGTACTCACAGCACGATGCTTCCAAAGTCGGGCTTGTGCAGCACCCTTGACTACCCCCAGTTAGGTATGGGAAACACAATCTTGAGGGAGTCGACTACGCCGTCTGTAAAAAGGAAGGGAAGTCCTCAACTAAGTCATGATTATATCGAAGGGAAGATCAATGAGGATGTTCTGAAAAGGATGTGCAGAAAAGGTGACAATGGTGTAGTGGTCGCGAGTAGAACGAGTTACGCTCCAGACTTGATAGTTGACAAAAAACGTTCTAGGATAATGAAGGGAGATGCAACCCTTACCAAAACTTTGACAAATGTCGTTGACATCGAAAATTCTATGAAACCATCTAATATGCAATACACAAAACAATATACTATTCATAAGGAAAGCACTATTAATTGCCAGCATGCAATATATGCCGACAAGAAAATACACGATCATACCATGAGCCTTGCAGCTTCGATTAATAATGAGACTTGATATAAATTAAAGTAATTTGTATGGATACATTTTTCATCTGGCACATACAGTTTTTCGATTTCACCCCAAAGCCATGATTGAGGAGCCAATACTAGCAGTAACTGTATTTCAGCGCAATGTTCTGGATGATAAGCGCTAAAGTTTAGTGTTAGATCCGTCGCCAGTGATTGTGTTCGTACCTTTGCTTGCTATCAATTAATTAGTTTACTGGTGTATGCATCCACGTTCAGAAGCAGATGGAAATAAGATCTTTATCCTAGTTAAATTTTTTTTGTAATGATTTCATACTTTCTGCGCAAGAGATGCAAATTATGCTACCAGCAGGTCTAATTTTCCCATGGAGTATCGGAACAACTACAACAGATGGAGTTACTCTACATCTTTCAGTATTCAGTTACGAAGACTTTGAATGGAGATTTTCAAAATCGTAACTAAGAAGTGAACTTAATGAACGGTATGACAGGTATCACATTATGGTGAATGGGGAGGGGTTCTTTATACACCGACGTCTCTCTTATGAGTTTTTTACCCCTATCATTTCTTTCACTTAAATCCATATGAGTCTGTGGTGTGTAGTTATTTCATTTAAAGAGAATATTTTCATCATGGGATGCCAAAATAAAAAAAAGTGGAACAACTGCACTGAGGTTATGCAGTTATATAAAAATATTGACTACTTTTCTAAATTTTACTTTCTTTCGATAGGTTTTATTACTGGGAAACAAAATAGACTAAATCAAGAACCGTTCATATGTTCCTTTTTCTTCACCCCTGAAAAAAGGCCACATGATGCAAGTGGATTACATTGTTACACTAACAAGGGATGAAGAATTAAATGAATAGATGGAAATAATAAGTTACAACATATTACATAGGGAGAATTTCCTTTGTGATTACCATATTTTGATTGGATCTTTTTTATTTATTCACCTAAGATTGTTCTAAAGAACAAGGAATAAATTAAAGGTATATTTTTTAAAAAAGAATCTCATAGGAGGAAAAGAACAGGATCCTGTTTTTTATTTACATTTCATTTATTATGTAACATTATTTACATACCCTATCTTAGATATAGTTGTGATCAGTGTATTAATGAACTCTCTTCGGACACAAGGTTGTTGTTTATTATGTAATGGATAATTATTATTTCCAGAAGGCAATTTTGGCAAGAGGTGACGGGAAAATACTATATACATCGTTTTTTTTTACTACATTTCATTTTATCATATTTTTGGGTAAAATGGAGTATAAGTACTGAGCAGGATTGATCTTAGACATTAAAGTGTGAATATATATATATATATATATATATCAAAAATGAACGTGAGATTGACAAATGTATTGCTAAAAAAGCATTAGTAATGTCAATATTATTGCCATTATTACTTTTATTATTATATTTGCCTGTTTATAAATTTGAATTTTAAAATATTTTGATTAATATCACTCTAATGTGGCAAATATAATTCCTTTTTTATCTGAAAAGAAAAATCAAATGCCTTTTTATTTATTCATTGTTAATAAATCGATAAATGCGTGTAGTTTGTATTAATGTTGACAGTAAGTATCGATATGTACATTGTCATTTTATCTTTAATCATGGAGTATACATATCTTTTGAGATTCGCATATTCGCATAAAATATACTTTATATATAATACAGCATGAGGGATACCCTCTTTTCATTGTATTATATTTAGAAAACTCTTTTAAAAAGATAACTTAGCTTTTCATTCTAGAGTGTATTTGATAGTATTGAATAACTGAAATCAATGTTTGGCTCTACCTGATGTTATTTTTTATTCTTCTATTAGTGATCAGATTTGATTATCCTTGAGGTTTATTCTTTTTCAACTTTCGAGTTTCTCTTCAACATACTCTTTTTTACGTATGTACGTTATTATATCTGAAGAAGATAAGATCTGTACAAACAAAGCGTGTAGCGCAAAAAGGTATCCAACATCCTAAAAGTAGTCCTGTATCACTCTGAATTAAGGACTTGACTTTGACAAAGGTGCAGCGTGCCAACCCCGCAAAAAAATAAATAGGTTGTACTCAGATAATAGAAAGGGAAGAAGGGGAGGGGGGGAGAGTGATGCGATCCTTGGCGTCCAGTTTCTTTTCAAGGAATGTTGGGCCCAATCCCAGGACTGACGCCGTTCTGTGTCACAGGGGAACTGCGGAGGGCTCACCGTTCCCAGCCATCTCTCACGACGGAAAGGCCTCCCCTGCAACTCCTCACAAAGGGCTGCGACAGGACTTTTTTTTGAAGGAAGGGGGGGGAGGAACTGTGGGACGAAGGCCGGCTTCGAAGACAGAGGCCTATGCGGGCTCCCGCCACGCTCCCCGCCCGGTCACCGTCCGGCTTCTCCAGACTAGCCGCGCGCCGCGTCTTGGCGAAGCCAGCCTTCTCGTGGACGGCGCGGCTTGCAGTGGTGTGGTCCTCTGCGGCCGCGTGCTCGCGCGGGCAGGGCTGAACACCCACAACGAGGCTAGCCTCGGCCTTCGCGGCCCGACGCCGTTGTCGTGGTTTGTGATCAGCGACGGGACGGGTGTGATTGGGGTTGTGCAGTACCCCACTACCTGGACGGTGGCGCACGCCGCGGAGGGGGAGGACGAGGCGAGCGCTGCAACCCCTTCGACAGCGGCGTCGTTAGCCTCGCGCGGAGTCCTCGGTGACGGGGTGGGTGGTCATAGTGTGAGGGACGCCATTCTTCAGGCAGCGGTCGACGTTGCCGAAGGCGGGTATTGCATCCCTGCCGAGGAGATGGATATCCGCGTTGATGACTACGTCTTGTGCATTGGGCGCTTGTGCTTTGCAGATATTGATCCCACAGTTGAAAAATTATTTGGGTCACTTCCGATCCCGTCATATTTTTGCAGTAGTAGCAGTGGATCTATCGACAATGCTCCTACTGCCTCATCAGAAGCAGCTTTTATGAAGATTGATGATGCAGTTAACACATCTTCTAGAGAAGTCATTCCAGAGACACACGGGAAATATGGAGGATGCAATGAGCTTGGTGCAAACAATGATGCCTATGAAGGCCGGATTAAGGATAAAATGCGTCTTCGACCGCTTTCTTCCAAAGACAAATCGATGGAGAATGTAACCTACGTACTACCACCTGGGGCACGATCACCCGTTGCTATGAGAGATCTTTGTGAGTTGGGCATCTCTCCAGAGAATGTTCCACCTGGAACGCGTTTTTTCGGTGTTGCTGAACCAACTGATTGTTCACAAACACAAGACCTACAACCTGGTTTCTACAAACGAAAGGATCCTATCAATTCAATGTTTCAAAAGGTAAACGCTCTCCGCGTTACTGACTCCGGAAATGGGATGGGTCCAACCGTACCACGATTTTGTGTAAAAGGGAAGGTACGACTTATTAGTAGCAGTAATGAAATACTTTTTTGGTGGCTCAGTGCTATTGATACCCATGTCCGTCTGAAGTCCATTACTCTGGGGAAAACAGTAAACTATAACTGAGGCACAGGTATGGATATATATATATTTTTACATTACCTGTGTTATTTATTGAAGTTTCGACATCTTTCATTTTTTCGTTCCAAAATAAACAAATATATATACGTTTTTATTTATTTCTGCTACACAAGTTATTAATTCTGTTGTTATTTATAATTCAATAAATTGCCACTTGACCATGATATTTCCAGGAGGGAATTTGTGGGACCTAGTAGTGGTTGTGGTGAGACTCTCACCATGCTCCTCAGAGGAAGTGTTTTCCTACTATAACACGAATCCATTGTCAACACAACACTTGAAATGAACGTTTTTTTATTCAAAAGTGAAAAATAAATAAATAGAAAAGAGAATATTTTTTCGAACCTGGATCAAATAGATTACATATCTGCTTCACATAAACTTTATGTGCTTCCCTTTCATTTTTGCTTATCGGTTTGTAAAGGTATTAGTACGACTAAATGCAGTGGCGGAAGCGACCACACACTAGATCACCTTCCCTTCGGGCGGCTCCGGTGTCCCCCTTTTTGGGTGTCAACATAACATCTTCTGACGTTTATGGAGATAACCAGCGCCGCGCACGGCAGCAAATCTTGCGTGACCTTCTCTGCCATACCTCCCTTGTGGAACTACGAGATAGTGAAATCTTAAAATGGCTTGAAGGTGCCGACGGATGGCTTCGGAGATCGGACTTTTTGTCGAGTGAACTTACGGAGCTCCGGCTGTTAGTTCTCGGTGTGCTGAACACGATGCCATGGTGGCGAATTTTTGAGAGCGTTTTCCCTTTACCGAATCAACATGTGAATGATAATTTAAAGGATAATCTTGGTTTTGTGAGTAACACTCATGGCACTACTAGCATGAGATCACATTTTTATTTTTCATCACTTAGAAATAAATCTTCTCTCGCATCGGGATCAACAGTGGCGTCGGCTCCAGTATTGACATCAGTATCTCCAGTCGTCTCACGCATCATACGTCTGCATGAGCATATCCAGGTCGCATTTGAAAAAGTCTGCCTGACGCTTTTAGAGGGGTCACAGCGTATTATACCAAACGTGCTGGAGGTGATGCTGAAGCCATTTAATGTGGAGCCTTCCGTACGGGAAGATCTCCAGTGTGCAATCCCAGCCGATTCTATTCTTCGCGTTTTGAATCAGATCGTCACCAAAAGCCCGGCGAGTGATGTGCTAAATCTTTTTGAGCGGTGCTTGCCAACGCTGGTGCCGAAGCGACGTTGGGCGAATGCTCGTCATCATGTTGTGTGTACAACCTTATTTCTTTACCTAGCGCTTGAGGGTCAAGTGCCTGGGTACCACCCTTCATCTGGGAATTGCCAGTGCTTGTCTCGCATGCAGGAGTTATTTGAAGAATGGATTCCGTTTGCGACATTTAACGATTCTGTAATGTCTTCTCCTTCTATATCTCATGCCTCTTCTCAAAATATTTCTACACGGAAAAACGCGGCGGGGGAGGGAAGAGACTGTGACGTTACCAACAGTAACAGAGTTAAACTGAAGGAAGAAGCTGATTTAGTTGAATCAAAGGCTGACTTTACCCTGCCTCCGTCTTTATTTTCCCTGACAACCTCCGCGGCGCCGACAACCCAGGGGTCTCCATCCGCCGATACCGACACGAAGTTTTTCCAGAAAGTCCTGCACACGAACGGCCAGCATTCCAATCCTGCTGAGCCTCCCCAGCATGGCGTCCCTAAGGAACTCTCGCACGTGGATTGTAGCGGGGAGAGCCCCGCCCCTGAGGGTTTCAACACGTCCAACGGCAGCTTCTCAACCACCATTGCAGCCTCAAAGAGGGAAATGGCGTTGAAGACGCCGGGACAGAAAACACTGGCGGACTTTAGCGATTCCGAAGGGGCCAATTACAGCGGGAGCAGCGATACCAACTTCGGTGGTCAGACGCGCAGAGATGGGGCCTTTAGCAACTCCCTCTTCGCAAATTCCCATCACGCGGGGTTTTATGGTGGGGATCGCAGGGGCCCTCACGCAGGGTCATCTCCGAAGGATATCCTTTTGTCTACAGTGTCCACGCATCCCGAGTTCTCGACGTTGGCGGTCATACAAACCACCCCTCAGAATAACCGCATGCTGGCCTATCGTAGTGAGCTCATCCATTTCGTACTCGGGCGTCTCGAGGCGATGGAGCTGTCGTTGGATCGTACCGAAGGGAACCTTCCCAATGAACGGGACGCTTCTTTACCTTATCAGGCGAGTCATGGCCACTCCACGCATTCAATGACATCTCCCACTTCACCATTGGCGGGGTGGGAGACGGCCCGGAAGGTTTTTCATGCGGAACCGCCCTGCGGTGGGGGAAAGTGGCCTAGCATGAGTGGTAGTCCGTCGCCGATGGGGAGCCTTCCAAGCACTCCCGGGGGGGGTTCCCTCCAGGGCGTTTCTAGAGGGTCTCGCCCTCCGCATTCCCCCCTTGGGAGCTCCCATAGGTCCATCGGGGGTTTTTCGAGTTTTATGGCTCCATTTTCAGGCGCTCGATCCGGGGTGCTCGTGGTGGATTCTGCGCAGCCCCAATACAAAGCGCTGAGGGATTCCTGCGCGGTGGTGTTTTACATGCTCGCGAAGGATCTTCGACGTCAGCAGGCGGCCGGGGTGTGTGGGAATGTAGACTGGTGGAGGGTGCTCGTTGGGTTTCACCTTCGCATTCTGGCTTCCTTGTCGGAGACCCCGGTGTGTTTGCACTACATCGCCCCAAGCCTGGCGATGTTCGGTCAAGAGGAAGAGGCGGTAGACATGGTCCACAAGGTGATCACGATCGCAACCAAAGGCTCCTTTTCGTCCAGTCTTCGAGGGGTTTCGTCATCATTGGTCGCGAAGGAGGGCTTCGATCGGGCTCCTACCTCGATGGGGAGCGCCGCGGTTGGGGCTCCGGTGCGGCTCCGCATGGCAGCACCGCTCGCCATGGCAACCTCACAGGGGCTCTCCATCCCCCAACGCATACGTGCCGCGATGAGCATCGCGCCGCTTTTTAAATTCATGAAAGATCGCATTGCCAACGGGGAAGGGGTGCGGAAACGTTTACTGAAGTGGGTCGTGCAGGAAATGGGCCGTGAGGCTGCCGTAGCAGGCGGGAGAGGAGCTTTTTTAAGGCTGGTGGAGGTCGTCTTCGCGCAGTGCGCAGCGATTTCGAGTCTAATGGGGGTGGAAATTGTGCCCATAAACAACCCGAACCACAGCGGTAGCAGCGCCGCGGAGGGGAGTCAAACACCTCTTTTGCAGCCCGTCGGGGGGGGTGCGGCGAAATCCACGACCGAGTTGCTTCAGCCATTTTTCGATAAGTATGCGTTAAATTCAGATCCCAACGGCAGCGCCGACAAGGCAGTGAGCGAGACTAAACGCAAGGATGATAGTGATGACCATTGCTCGGGACGAATGCAGATGAATTTGGTTCAGATGGAGTATGATGGGCTTCTCCACCCATGGCTGATGGATGAGTGTCCTTGGGGGAATCTCCTGGCGCAGATGATTTCCTCTGCAGCCTAACCTTGGAGGAAGGGTTGGGGTTAGTGTAAACTGCTGACCATAACAAGAGAACTAATGATGCTGAAAATGCAATATATTGGGTTGTAAATGATGGGTTAGTTTCATATTGTGCCAACTCTATCGATTGGAATAAACGGCACATCAATAATTTAACCCATGTTAAACATAAATAATGAGTGGAATAATCTCATCACCATTAATGTCCACAACACTATCATTATAAAGTATTAGTAATTGCATTAATAGGAGCTATATATCTATATCCATTTATCTATATATAAACGTAGATATACAGATATCTCAGAGTTATTATTTGGCGAACAAATTTTTAATATATTTGGATATCCTTTTTGAGATAAATCCTTTTCTAAATGCTAGCATATCTATTCTATTTTGTCTTCACAACCCTGATAGTCCCAAGTATGTTCATGTAGTTGGTTATATCATAAGCCTTTCTTATATTTACCACCACCATCACTTTTTCGTAACGTATTGTTAACCACTTTTGGCATATCAAAGCCGTCTTGATTATTACTATTGTCATTCATTAATAGTTTAGTCCGTAAAGGGTACATTTTTAAAAATTATTATTCATTAATTTATAGATTTACTTTTGGATTTCTTTTCTTTGTGAAAAGGAGGCGGGGGAGGAGGCGTAACAATATATATATCTATACTTCTCTCTAAGGAATTTAAGAGGCAATTACACAAACATTCACCCACAATGTCCAGCCGTGCCGACACCCTTAGGACGCACCTAGAGACCAACCCCTTTGTGCGTGTGGAGCGTCGTGGGGAGTGGGGGTTGCTCTATCTCCTGGAGTGCGCGCCTCGTCCGTCGCGAGGCGGCGCCCTCACCGGTGACGTACGCCGGGCGCTCCTCCAAGCCCTGCGGGGCCTTCAGGCGGACCCCGCCTGTCGCAGGATTCTCCTCCTCTCCAACAGCGCGCTGGTCTTCTCCACCGGCCTGCACGCGCTGGACTTCGGGGACGGCCTTGTGTCGGACCCCACCGGGGAGGTCCC